CCACTGAGGGGCCGCGAAGGGTCCGATAAGGGGTCGCGAAGGGGCCGTAGGGGGCCGCGAAGGGGCTGTTAGGGGGCCGCGAAAGGGCCGTGAAGGGGCCGCTAGAGGAGGGGCCGCGAAGGGGCCGATAAGGGGCCGATAGGGGGCCGCGAAGGGGCCGCTAAGGGGCCGCGAAGGGGGCCGCGAAGGGGCCGCTAGGGGGGCTGCGAAGGGGCCGATAAGGGGCCGCGAAGGGGCCGTAGGGGGGGCCGCGAAGGGGCCGTTAGGGGGCCGCGAAGGGGCCGCTAAGGGGCCGCGAGGGGGCCGCTAAGGGGCCGTGTAGGGGCCGCGAAGGCGTAGGTCAGGGCAGTGCGCGAAGCGCGCTTTGGGCAGGTAAAAAAAAAAAAAAAAACGTGGTGGGCCCTTAGGAAGAAACAGTCCCACTAGGGAACCTGCTCTATACCATGTGAGAATTAATGACAAGAATGGATGAACTAAGAAACAAGTGGGGTACAAGTAGGAAACACAAAAGTGTTGTACCCTCTAAGGACTACCCCACTACAGCCTAAATAGACTATAGCATATATGAGTTTGACAGCTGCCTCTGGCCACCGCCAGAACCTCCCCTCTGAACAGCTCCACCCCGAGTGCCAGCACTCCCACTGCTGCCACCACCGCCATCCCCACCGCCTCCACCACTACTGCCACCAAAGCCCCCACTCCCGCCACCACTCCCAGCGCTGCCACCACCTCCGCTACCTCCACCACCTCCACTGCCGCCACCACCACCACCCCCGCTGCCACCACCGCCGCTCCTGCCACCCTTGCCCTTGCTGCTGCAGCGCTTCCCACTAATAGCAGAAGCAGCCCCGACATCCTCAGCACCAAGGATGTCAACAGCAGCAGCAGAGGCATTGGAGGGGGGCAAGGGGGGCGTGCGAGGAGTGCTACGAGCGGCACCTACAGCGACTACGCTAGTCTCAGCTGCAAGGAGGTGCTGCTCGAGCAGGTCGACAGTGAGGTCAGTGGGGTCAAGTGCGAGAAAGTGGTCCCTAACAGAGCGAAGAGAGTCAAGGAGGCGGGTGACTATGAAGTAGAGAGTGATGTACATCGGGGGCGGGTTCCTATCAAGGAACTCTGCTGGGAGGGCAGCGCGGTAGCGAGCGTCGCTAGTGCGAAGGTGGGTAACGAGGTTCTCTACCGTTGCAAAGGCGGACAGCTCGGGAAACAGGTAGGGCAGTATAAGACGGCCTAGAGCAGTAGTGGCAGGGGAGGAGTAACGGGCGACTACATCGTCGTACAGTGCTTTAGGAGTCTTGTGCTGTCCGAAGTGAGCACGTTCGGCTAACGGCAGGTGGTTGCGAACGGCTAAGCGAGCAGCAGCGTCACGGGTAAGCCACTGTGAGCGAGTCGCACTGTCAGCTGTGGCGGGAGGGGCGAGAGAGGCTCCAGGCGTGTGGTCAAACAACGAAACGCTGTCTCTAGAATCGCTCTGTAGGTACAGCTGTAAGTCGTCTAGCCACGTATCGAACTGGATCGGACGGCCCTCATGATCGAAGGTGAGAACACTGAGAGAAGCCATAGCGGACAGAGCAGGGTGGCGCGGTACCAGTAGAGCAGCACGTAGGCAGGGCGGAGCGCGAGCACTAGGGAAGCGCGCAGGGCAGGGCAGGGCGGCACACGGCTAGGGCGGCCAGCAGGGCGGCGCACAGCAGGGCGGGCAGCAGCAGGGCGAGCAGTAGCCGGGCGGCGCAAGCAGCTGCAAGGGGGCGGCGCGAGGGCTGCAAAGGGGCGGCAAGAGGGCTGCCAGAGGGCGGCAAAAGGGCTGCAAAGGGGCAGCAAGCGGGCTGCCAGCGGGCGGCGCGCGGGCTGCAAGGGGCGGCGAGCGGGCCGTAAGGGGCGGCGAGCGGGTTGCAAAGGGGCGACGCGCAGGCCGCAAGGGGTGGCAAGCGGGCTGCAAGGGGCGGCGAGCAGGCTGCCAGAGGGCGGCTCGCTGGCTGCAAGGGGCGGCGAGCGGGCCGCAAGTGGGCGGCGCGCGGGATGCAAGGGCGGCGAGCGGGCCACAAGCGGGCGGCGAGCGGGCTGCAGAGGCGGCGAGCGAGCCGCAGGCGAGCGGCGAGCTGGCTGCAGGGGCGGCGAGCGGGCCGCAAGCGGGCGGCGAGCGGGCTGCAAGGGCGGCGAGCGGGCCGCAAGCGGGCGTCGAGCGGGCCGCAAGTTGGCGGCGAGCGAGCTGCAGGGGCGGCGAGCGGGCCGCAAGCGAGCGGCGAGCGGGCTGCAGGGGCGGCGAGCGGGCCGCAAGCGGGCGGCGAGCGGGCTGCAGGGGCCGCGAGCAGGCTGCAGGGGCGGCGCGCTGGCTGCAGGGGCGGCGAGCGGGCTGCTAAGGGCGGCGCGACGGGCTGCAAAGGGCGTCGCGTGGGCTGCTAAGGGCGGCGCGCCGTTAGGGCAGGGCGGCAGGGCAGCTAGTGGGGCAGCTCTGTGGTGGGCCCTAAAAAAAAATCGGTCCTCGGGAAGGACCTGCTCTAAAACCATGTCAAACTATAGAACGAGAATTATTGGATTGAACAGAAGTTGGGTACAAGTACTAACCCTAATTGGGTTGTACCCCTTATGGGCTACCCCACTATAGCCTACACAAAGTAAGCACTATAACATTTTGACAGAAGCTGCTGAAACTTGGTCGTTATCGCAGCGTCAGCTGATAACTCTGTGTACCATCCGTGTTTTATCAGTGCCATGACAACAACAATCACACAGGAAATTTCCTTATGCAACATGAAAGGAATCAACAAGATGGCGACCGAGGGCAAACCGGAGCCAGCTTCCTTAACCATATCAATTACCATCTCGTCATCAGAGTCATCGTCGATGAAGCCGTCATCAACGGTGAGTCCCACCGAGTGAATAGTGGCCTTGTCAGCAATACAAAGCCCAGATCCGCTAGCAGCTGACGAAGCAGCCTTGTCCTTGTCATTGGTTGCAGGAGCATGAAGGCCGGTGGAGCTATCAACTGTTAGACCACTATAGCTTTTACATTTGTGTAGGCTATAGTGGGGTAGCCCATAAGGGGTACAACCCAATTAGGGTTAGTACTTGTACCCAACTCTTTGCTAGTTCATTCATTCTCGTTCACAACATTCTAACATCAACATCCGTAGTAGCAGGCGGGTCAAGCACAGGATGAGAGCGTTGACCCTTAGGCAGAGCCGGGACATCAGCCGGATGAGACATTGTGCGATGATGAAGATGAACAGGCAGCAGGAGAGTGTGCCAAAACTCTTGAAGACTGTGTATAATGCCTGATGACTGAGCACAGAATCTTTAAATAATGTCTTGGCCTTGATAGTATCATTGTTGATAATAGAATAGTTGTAGCAGTAGTCAATGAAACCATGGCACGAGCCTTTAACGGCAGTGAAACCGGGCAATGCCTGACGAACTCTGTGAGTTGTCGCTTGATAACTGGAGAAACCTAGGTCAGCAGAAATTATTGGTATTCCATTGTTAAAGTTACATGCGATGGTTTTAACAACAACGGAAGAAAACGTATGGCATGATAGCGAGGATGTTGACCGTTGTAGGTATCAGAGGTCCACTGGTGATGACCGATTGATCCTAGGGAAGGGTTACAGGCTCGTTGTCCTGGGGGGTTATGGGCGCACTGACCCGCTACTTAACAAGCCCTTTTATCCCAATGGTCTAGTGGTTGGAGTTCTGACAGTAGGCTCGGCAGAATCCGTGGCCGCCGTAAGGCGGAGAGAGCGGAGAGCATTCCGGAGAGAGTATTGACGAGCAGCTCCTACGTATTAGAGTCAAAGGGCAATTCGAATCGTCCACTGCCTTGGAGACACTACTGTACCCTGGTTCTAATGGTGTCGACCTGGCCCAAGCTGACTCAGCAGGTAGCCCCGCCACGCCATGTCGAATAACCAGAAGGAGGCAAGTGGCTGGCGGGAAAGTGCGGGATTGGTGGCGAGGGGATCTATTGACCCAGCCCAAATCATAGGGGCTGTGCATGCATGCATGCATGGTCACACGCCTCGGCTTGACCTACAGTACTCCATGTATTTCACCTAATCCGTTCTCTCCATTGCATTCATAAAAAACGCATGTCTTAGGGAACAGTCTGTCTACATGACCAAGGCATGATCAAATTGTGATTTTTACGTCTGTCAAAATCAGCGATTTTTAGCACCTTGGTTTGGGATTTAGGTTTGTTGCTTTAAATTGCCTATCCGAATCACCTTGAGATATAATCTATCCCAACAAATTACAGTGCTGCATCTGTAACTGCCATAGCAGCAAAGATCCCATCTTTGACCTCATCACAGAATACCGTAGGAGAAAATAATTGTGATATAACTGCCTCAGCTGTGTTTTGTGCATTCGTCAGGTCAGGCCAATTTAGCAACTTGTAATGTACATAGCATACCGTATCACCCCGGATATAAGCGCACCTGCACTTATAATAAAACATGAATTTTCAGGGGGGGGGGGGGGGGGGGGGGGGGGGGGGTGCGCTTATAATTGAGTAAAAATATAAGCGCATGCACTTATAAAATAACAAATATACAATTTTAAACTACTAGCACGAAAATGTAGTTCGCGTCATTGCGCACCCAATCGAGTCGATTTGAAATAGGGTTGTGGGTGAAAAACTCTCGCTACTTGGGAGGGAAAGATTCCCTGCCAGCACATACACTCAAAATGAGTCACTAGGAGCTTCTGACAGCACTGGACGCGCAGCCTGTGCAGGGTTTGAATGCGAAGGAAATCTGATTTTCAACTCATCGCCTCCTTAAGTGAACTTCGTTACAGTAATTTGACAGTTTTTCAATTTCAAAACTAACATGCGCTTATAATAAAACAAGTTTTTTAAGGGGGTGCGCTTATAATTGAGGATCGGGCATAAGCGCATTGCTCCAGATAGAAGCGCATGCGCTTTAATAGGCCTGCACTTTTATCCGGGGTGATACGGTATGTTGCTGCAGCTTGCTTAGCTCGATAACCACCACCCCTACCAATCACAACGCAGCCTCTGCAAGTGCCAGGTCAGCAAGGATGCCGTCTCTGACGTCAGCAGGGAGCTTTGCGTTGACTCCACTGCGCATGTAGAAGCGGGAGAGCGTTCTGAGCACAGAGTCGAGAGAGGAGGTGATGATCTGGGAGGGGAGGAAGGGAAGAGGGAAGGAAGAAAATGAGAAGGAGGGGAGACTTGACATTGCATTGACTCCATTGCGCATGTAGAAGAGGGAGGGCGTTCTGAGCACCGAGTCGAGCGAGGAGGTGATGATCTGATCGGGGCGAAATGGAGGAGAGCAGGGGGGCGAAGGAGATGGAGGGAGGGGAGAGAACGTGAAAAGGGAAAACCCGACAGCACTGCATTCACTCTACTGCGCATTTAGAAGCTTGAAAGCATTCTGAAGAGGTGATGGGGAAGAGAATAGGGGGGGGGGGGGGGGAGGGGGGGGGGGGGGAGCTGTGTGGAAGAGAATGAAAAAATGAAAAAAGAGGCAGCCTGGTGTTTAATTCACATCATGTAGAAGCGGGAGAGAATTCTGAGAACAGAGTCTAGCGAAGAGGTGATGGTCTGATTTGGAGGGGAGGAGAGCGGGGTGGTGAGGAGGGGAGAAGAGGCAGGGGTGGGGGGAGGGGGGAGGTTCGGGGGGGGGGAGTTGGGGGAAAGGGAGGAGAGGAGGAGAGGGGGTGGAGAAAATGTAAAAAGAAAAAGAGGCAGTCAGGCTTTTAATTCACTCCACTGTGCATGTTAGAAGCAGGAAAACGTTCTTAGCGAAGTTGAGAGCAGAGGTGTTGATCTGATTGGGAGGGGGAGGAGGGGAGGAGAGAAGAAGGGGAGGAGGGGAGGAGGGGAGGAGAGGAGGGGGAACTGGGAGGAGGGGGGAAAGGGAAGCAGGGGGAAAGGGGGTAAGGGTGAAAGTGGAGGAGGGGGACAAGGGGAGGAGGTTAGGGAGTGAATGTGAAATAGAGGGAGGCTTGCCATTGATTCCCCTGCACCAGGCATGTATAAGCGGGAGAGTGTTGTGAGAGCAGAGTCAATATTTGAGGCGCCTAAAAAATAATGAGAGGCCTGCCATTGATTTCTCTGCACCAGGCATGTAAAACTGGGAGAGCGTTATGAAAGCAGAGTCGCGAGAAGAGGTGATGGTGGTGTAGTGGGGAGAGGGAGGAGAGGGAGGAGAGGCAGGAGAGGGAGGAAAAGGGGGAAGCGGACAATGAGGTTCAGACGATTGGGATAGAGTGAGACGAGACGACCACGCTAGGCATTAGGTGAAATAAGCCTTCCTTTCAGCCTCTCAACCGTTTCTCCCACGCATATTCCCCATCCCCTACTCTCACCTCCATACAATCTGCTGCCCAGTGACCTTCTCTCGCCACTCCCCATCAAGTGCGTGAATAAGAGTTCAGCCATCTCACCTTTCAACCCCTCCCTCGTTCCACCCTCCCCTTGTTCCACCCTCCCCTGGTTCCACCCTTCTCGCAACACATCCTTCCGGTCCCCTGCGCTCACCTCCCCTGCGCTTGGCATTGAATGAACTGCAGCTTGTAACCCTTCCGGCGTTCAGTCCAGTCCTTCTTCCCCCATGCATCCTCCAGTGTCTCTCCTTCGCTCACCTCCATATAATCTGCTGATGGGTGACCTTCCCCAAACACTCCCCTTAATTACCCACAAGCAGTTCAAAACTCAGCTCGTTCAACCCTCCTCTCAGCGCATACCCCCCCCTTCCCCTGCGCTCACCTCAGTGTTCTCCGGCGCTTTCCCCCGCCACTCCCCCAGGTACGCGCGGATCGCGCCCTTAGCCACGTCCGCCTTGCGCCGGAACTCCCCCCGGTCGCCCTCCTCCGCGCCCAGCGCGTCGCGCAGGCTGCTGATGAGCGCCGTCACGCTCCGCACGTACGCCTTCGGAAGCCGCCGCCCGCTCGCCGTGATCTCCTCCGAATCGAACGCGGATCGGAGCCCTTTCAGCAGGTCGCTTCCCCCGGCGGCTTCCACCGTTGCGGCGGCGTCCGCGGCGGCGTGCGCGACGGGGGGGAGGGCGGGTAGTGGGAGGTACGGGGAGAGGGTGGCGGAAGCCAAGGCGAGGAGTCCGCCCGCGAGCGCGGAGCGTCTGGGGAGGGCTTCGGGGGAAGCGGCGGAAGCGGCGGAAGGGGGAGTGGCGGAAGTGGAGGGGTGGGCGGAAGGTTGGTTTTCCGCCTGCGCTGACGCGCGGATAGGGGGAATGGCGGAAGTGCGGCTACGTCTGGCCCCATTGGCGGGAGAGACGCGTGCAGCGCAGGCGGAAGAAAGGACCGGCGTGGGGAAAAGGGCAGAGGGTGCGAGTGCAAGCGCACGGGCGTCCATTGCGAAATGCTTGAGAAAGTGTTCTCGTAACGATTACGGCAGTTGACAAATGTGCTAGTATCGAGTCACGTATCAAGGTGAGGGATTTTGCGGAGGAGGGAAGCGACGTGGGGATTCCGAGAGAGGAACGCAATGCAAAGCGCGCCGATTCCGGCGTGGTGGGCACAGAACGATGGTTGGCGGCTCCGGTGTCGTGGAGAGAAAGAGATGTCGCGAGCTCGAGACGAGTAGGGAAGAATGATGAAGGAACGACCAGGCGTAGCAATGAAGCGTTAGGCCTGCTCGGACCAGCAGCCGTGGAAACACGAGACGCGACACGAATATGAACGGATTTCGATAGAAAAGTAAGTGCTTGAAATAAGAGTCGACTATTTGCTGACAGATTTCTGGGTAGATATTTTAGTGAGCCTTTTTGGGGAGGGAAGGGCCGTGTTCTATTGATACTGGCCATTCGCAACAGAATTGTAACTCGAGGAGAAATGCGAAACGGGAGGAAAGTACTTTCATGGAAACGAGTGCGTACGACACTGTCCAAGGATCGCAACCACACTCAATAGATGTAACATCAGAAGGCCCCTTTGGCGAATAATTTGGCGAAACGTAGCTCTCGAGGATTGGTGAATTGAAGTTGTGAGTGTTTGGGCGAAATGCTCCGTTCGGGCTGCGAATAAATTTTGAGCCCTCGCGACACTTGCATTGTGAATGCTACGCCTGGCGCGGCCTTATCCGCCTTGAGCTGTAACAGCACAGCCGAAGCACCAACAAAACCTGCACCTGCAACTCTGTTCATGCAGCCCAACGGAATGTGTACACCTCGTTGATCTCCAACAATGCTCTCCGCCTGCTCTCGGCAGCATGGATTCTGTCGTGCTCGAGACTACCAATGTCCTCGTTAACATGCTCCGATTTAACATCTGCTTTAAGAAACGATATCGCTGGTCTCTCTTTTATCGGTAGACCTGTCAACAAAGCTGACATGGGCAAACCGTGGCACCATGCGATTATCCCAGATGTCTATCAGGCACTCCCAAGGTCAACGGTTCTCTATCAGACTGTTATTCCTACATCTCTATTATATATATTTCAATATCTGCTCCCAAGGTCTTATCCTCAAGAACTCAGCACCAACTACAAGAAAGGCTTGATCCAGATCGGACGATGCATCTATTAAAGCAAGTTGTGCTCAGAAGCTTGGCAGGTTATCTCATCATTTGTGTTTTTCACACCTCAACGCTGCCTCAGTCTCATCATCGCACTATGTCAGTCCCCAAGGGACTCCGCTCCAAGTTGGTCGCTAACGCTCCCGTTGTCAATGGCCTTTGTCAATGGTGTTGCTCCGTCCGCTGCTGCAACAGTCTGTTACGAATAGTAATTATTGAAGCATCACTTTGCACTCCTTACCGCAGCAATCAAAGCACGCACTACCAAGGATGAAGGCGAAAAGACAGAAGTGACGCGAAGCGTCGTACGGTTACGAAGAGGATATGGACTGTCAGGCAAACAGCATCAGGCAGCAGCAGTGGCGAGGATTCCGCCCAGAGAGTTTCGTAACTGTTTGGAGTCGCACGGTTGGATTTTGTCAGAATACTGAACGAGAATGAATAAACTATGAAAGAGTTGGAAGTACTAACCCTAATTGGGTTGTACCCCTTATGGACTACCCCACTGTAGCCTACACAATGTAAGCACTATGACATTTTGACACACCCCCATAGGCAAAATGGGGGAGAAAAAGTGGTCACAAGACCAGTCAAGAAAAGCAAAGCAAGCTCAGGGTGGATCACGAAGTCAGTTTCACATGTAGAGTTATATAAAAGAGAACAAATAGTACAGTGATCATACCATAACAAGTGTAAGCGTGCAGATATATATATAGATCACAGTACAAGCAAAGTCACGCAGTGAGCAAGTGAGGCAAAGTAGGCACAGAGCCTAAAACGGTACAGAAACGCAGATGATCACCAGACTGAAGTGCCTTGGTGAATATATCAGCAGTGTTGGCCCGAATGGCCACGTAAGCAAGACGAAGCTGACCATGCTGCTGCAACTCTCGAGTGATGTGCTTCGTTCTGCGCTCTAATATGTGCTCCTAACGCAAGGCAATCATGGCCTTGTTGTCTACGTACAGAACTGGAGCAGAACAAGGCCGCTCTCCCAAGTCGGTCAGTGTCAGAATCCCAACCACTAGACCATTGGGATAAAAGGGCTTGTTAAGTAGCGGGTCAGTACGCCCATAGCCCCCCAAGACAACGAGCCTGTAACCCTTCCCTATGATCAATCGGGGATCACCAGTGGACCTCTGACACCCCCCCGCACTGGGATGCCCGAAGTGCACACACTGGGATTCGAACCCGAGATCGCTCTGATACCATGTCAAAATCCCAACTACTAGACCATTGGGATAAAAGGGCTTGCTAAAGCGACGGGCAACTTTTGGCAGTGTTGGGTTCAGAAGTTTTTTTTTTGAACCAGGCTTGCCAGCGCGAAAGTGCTGGCTGGCGAAAACCAGGATTTCGTGCGGACACTTTCCATCCGCAGTAACAGTTCGCCAGGGTTCTGGGTTTTGGGTGGCAAATGTGCACCGTCGCTTTAAGTAGCGGGTCAGTGCGCCCATAACCCCCCAGGACAACGAGCCTGTAACCCTTCCCTAGGATCTATCGGGGATCACCAGTGGACCTCTGACAGTCAGCAGGTAGGTGAGCCAGCATAACTCCTGTGCAGCCATGGTCCCTGCGTAGATCTCAGCCTCACAACTGGAACTGAGAACAGAAGACATGCGGGTAGACCGCCAAGAAACAGAGCCGGAGCCAAGGCAGAAAGTGTAACCCTGTGACGACAGCTGCGTAGCCAAGTCGTCAACCCAAGAAGCGTCTGCGTGTCCAGTGAGGACAACTGGACCCCGTCCTCCAAGCATGAGACCCATGCCCGAAGTACTGCACAAGTAGCGCAACACCCTCTTAGCAGCCTCCCAGTCCTCTGGTCGGTGTCTCCCGGGCGCAACGTAGCGTGCCAGGATACTAAGAGGGTAGGCAAGGTCAGGTCGAGTGCACGTCATCAGGTACATGAGGCAGCCCACAAGCTCTGGATACGGACCACTCGGCTCTACGGACTCGTCCGAAGGTGGAGCTGAGAGCGAGTGATCGGTGGGCAGAGGAGTGGACTGTGGCGAGGAGTACTGGAAGCCGAAGCGCTGAAGGACCTGGTGCACCATGTGTGACTGAGTCAGGGTGATGGTGTGCCGTGCTCTGTCCCGGGTGATCTGCAAGCCAAGATAGCTGCGCAGCTCACCCAGTTCAGTGCAGGTGTGTCTCTTCTGCAGCTCCTACTTCACAAGGGCCAGTGCCTCAGTGCCAGCAGTGGCAAAGACCAAGTCGTTGACGTATACGAGGACGTAGAACGGCAGCAACGAAGTGTCGATGCGCAGAAACAGCGACGGGTCAACAGTAGAAGGAGCAAACCCAAGTGCCGCAAGCGTCGTCCTCAGTGTGTTGTGCCACTCGCGAGGCGCCTAGCGGAGACCATAGACTGGCCCCCGGAGGCTCCACTGGGTACGTGCAGGAAACGACCCAGTGAAGTCACGTGGGCGGTGCAACCAGATCTCCTCGTGCAGGCTGCCTTGTAAGAAAGCCGTGCTGAAGTCAAGAGACTGCAGCTCGTAGTCACGCTGAGCAGCGACGTGCAGCAACACTCAAAGAGTGGTCATCTTCGGGGTAGGGGAGAAGGTCTAGAAGAAGTCAACTCCCTGTTGCTGACTGAAGCCTCGTGCAATGTGACGAGCCTTGAAGACAGGCGGAGAACCCGGCGGCCGCTTCACCCTGAAAATCCACATGCCATCGACTACGTTCGCCCCAGAAGGGGGAACTGCGTCAACGTAGGTGCATGTGGACTTCTAGGATGCCATCTCTGCATCCATGGCTGTCTGCCACTGAGAGGAGTAGGGACCCGTAATCGCCTATCCGTAAGAGCGCGGGGTCGGGATGTCTGGTGCATCCGGGTCTCCCTCAGATGCAAGCAGTATGGCCACGAGATGAGGTACATCAGCTGCAAGACACTCAAATTCCTCCTGCCTGTCCTCAAGGACGTCTGTGCCAAGAGCACACTCACCCCCGACGGACGGAGGACAGTCAGACTTAGACTCAGCAACAAGGCTAGTGGCGTAGTCGAGACGACAGGCGGCAGCAAAGTCAACAAGCTCAGCAACTAGAACAGACGCAGCAATGGACTCAAACGAAGGGTCAATGACAACAGTGGCTAGAAGACGAGGTACAGTAGGACTGGCAGCACAAGCTAAATCAGACTCAGGGTCAGGAACGGCAGGAAGAGAGGACGTAGGAGGAGGCGGCAGGGGAACTCGCAGTGGAACAAAGGAAGGACGAAGTGCCATAATGTGAGTGCCAGGGACAGGGGGACGACTCGGACGAGGAACACGACGACCAGTGCGAACTGCGGGAACAGGCGAGGTAGGACGAGACTCAGGCTCACGACGCTCTGTAAAAGAGTTTGTCTGCTCAGCGTAAGGAGAAGGAGCAGGCAGTGGGAAGTCTGGCTGTAACAGTGGCTGCGACTGGTGAGGCGGTGGAATCAGCAAGCTAGGAGGAAGGCCAGTGGAAGACGGGAGACTAAGAACCTAGCAAACGACCGAGTCAGGTGGCTGTAGAGACGACCACAGTGGTGTAACGAAAAACGGTCGCCGCAGCACAGTGCCTCTGGAACCAGTACCGCCAGCTCCAACACCTCCAGCTCCAGGGTCTTCAGCTCGAGCGCCTCCAGCTCCAGCGCCTCCAGCTCCAGTGCCTCCAGCTCGAGCGCCTCCAGCGCCAACACCTCCACCTCCAGGGTCTCCAGCTCCAACGTCTCCAGCACCAGTGTCTCCAACTACAGCGCCTCCAGCGCCATCTCCTCCAGCTCCAGTGCCACCAACACCACCAGCTTCGGTAGCTCCAGTACCCCTGGTATGAGCACCTCCAGGACCAGAAGCTCCAACACCTCTTGTACCTCTA